CTCTCTCTCTCTCTCTCTCTCTCTCTCTCTCTCTCTCTCTCTCTCTCTCTCTCTCTCTCTCTCTCTCTCTCTCTCTCTCTCTCTCTCTCTTCTCGGTTTCTCATCCTCATGTTCTCTCTGAAGTCTCCCTTTCTCCCCTACTCGACCGATCTATCGCTATGGGCATACTACAGCGCATACCAAAATAGCATAGCAGCGCTTCCACGTGGTCATGCAAGTGAATATGTGTTGACGACTTCAAGAACTGGACGTCTGTAGCCGATGTTTCGTTTCCGGACTTCCTCTGCCTGTTATGGGACGGTCCCTCTGCTGATTTTTGTCGCTTTCAGAAGTTCCCTGACTTTCCTGACGGGACCGACTGACAGAAAAAAGGCCTACCGACTTTTCCCTATGCCTACCAGAGTTACCTACTGAAATCTACCTACAACAGCCTATTGTCCTATTCGCACTGCCCCTGACTTGGGACACGAGAATATGATAGATGATAGGACCAAGCCTGTGACTGAACCTGGGACTTGGGGGTCCAGAACTGCGACGGGGTTCAGTGCTGAGAACTGTGAAATCTCTGCAGTACCACTTTATGTAATGTGCAACTGAGGATATTCCAAATTTTGAAAATTTGTTATTTCCCTCTTGTTTTGATGGTCAGGACCCGTGGATGAAATGTTTGTGCTGTCGGACCCCCTGTAACTGCCTGTCAGGTCACCTACCGTCGAGTCTGTACTTCTCCACGGGCTTCGTAATGTTGCAACCATTGTCCATTTGCTGACTTCCAGGGAGGGGGTGAACATGAGGGAGTAGATTGTCTGAAAGGCAGTCGATTGTCCGACGTGAGTACACGGCTTCAGACTGCCAGTCCAGTACTGATGCCAGCCAAAAAACGACATGCTGTTTTGGGGGGGTGGAATTTCTTGAGAATGTACAGGTTTGTGAAAGGTTGCAGGCAAGGGTTCAGGAGCTGAAGGCAGAGAATGCACAGCTTGAGGAAATGCTTCACACACAGGTTGGTTTGCTTCTTTCCGTCCACTGCCTTTCTTTTTATTACTCGTATTATGAACCATTGATGATCTGTGTGTATCATCCTTACGTGCGGCCGATGTTAAGAAAGAAGTTGAGTTGAAGTCCATGATAAGACAACATGCCAGTATAATGCACTGTGCTGCCAAGGTTGGTGGCCTCCCACAGTGCATCTTTTTTTTTTTTTTTTTGGCTTAGTCCTTGAGACAAGCATGTGACTACTAGCAGGATGAACCAGGTAATGTCAGGATTGGGTAATTTACGTGCCTGCTGCCTTCCTTGGATGTGGTAGCCATCTCTCAGGCAGCGCAGTGCTGCTGCTTTTGTTTTTCCCCCCCTTTTTTCTTGTCTTTTTTCCTCTTTTTTTCCTCTTTTTTTCCGTTTTTTTTTTCTCTTTTTTCCCCGAAACAGGGCCTTATGGTCCCGTCTCCATATCCATTCTGGGGAGCATCGTTCTGGTTCCTTTTCCCCCGGCAAGTCATAAGAATACAGCAGAATCAGAGAAGATCACTCGCACACGCGACCTTCTGTTTGGCCGAAGGACCCCTGAACAGCATTCATTACTCCATTGTCATGGCGGAGAGACAGAAAATGGTAAGCAGGTATGAGGGGTAGGTGGAGGGGGAAGAGCGAGGTGAGAAGGGATTGATAACAGTGAGGGGGGGGGAAATGAAAAATGCCAAAAAGAGAGCTGTCCACAAGTGCTGCCATAGCAGTTGATGCAGTCTGTCTTGATCCATTTATTATTACGTCAAGTGCGGTTTAGGGGAATTCAAGTGATGTGCACAGACTGCGTTACTTGAGCGTGGTGTGTGTAAGCGGGGTGCAGTGCAGGGAATTGAGGAAATTCGTGCTATCTCATATTTGATCTATAAACGGCGGGCATCTGATCTAAACACCCTTGTTTTTTTTATAAAGTCAGCCTTGCCAAATTACGCAGGGGTGAGGGGTGGTATATCGTTCTCATGGGAAGTAATCAATGCCGTCCACTCCGGCCTCCCAACTATAATGGGGAGGAGTGTAGAGCGAGTTAAAGTTGTATCCATAGTTGCGGCGCACCTCGGTGCATGGATTTGCGCATGCTTTGCGCACCGCGCACCGCACCGAGTCCACCGCACTGGAAAAATTAAGGTCTGGAAAAAAAAAAAGTGGGGGGTTCATATTTTCTTAGGGCCCCCGAGTCGGCAAAAATGTTCAACTCGCCGCGCTCGTTCGGAAACCGGCCACGCCCCGGGCCCGATTTTTTTTGGGGGCAAGGGCTGCCGAATTTTGAATTCCGCAGGCCGTTCCCCCCAAAGTTTCAAAATGGCAAATCATGAGAATAGGGCTCATTGAACCTCATTCCATTTTTATTTTAGGGCGGGGTGTGGAAACTGGCCCTTCCCCCTCTCTTCTGCAAATCCCGCACAGTGCCTCGCAGAAGTCATGAGTTGCGTTTTGGAAGCCCAGCCGACCACGAATATATGCTGAAGATTGGAATTCAGGTCTGTATGTCGATAGTTATGGGTTAGGAGGAAGATGCCTGTACCTATCTCGTTTTTTTGTTCTTGTGTTCTAATGAATACGTACTGTGGCCCCCAACGGGCCTCCCTCCACAACTCACCACATGCACAAAAGACATAGTATATGGCGGTGTATGGTTCTATTTTTTTGCAGAAGATTCATTCTACTAATGTTATATAGATTTGGTAAGTGGTGGAGGGAGGCCCTGAGAATCACGTGGACCCGAACGGGGTCTAGCTGAATTGGTGACCCATAACTGCTGAGCGACAGCCCTGAACTCGAACCGACAGCATATATTGGTGGTGTGCTCCCTCGTCTTCCACACATGACGCGGCCAGCCTGCTCGGTTCTCAATGACTCCACAATGTCCACATTGTAGGAGCCATTTGAGCAACCTGCAGGGGCCCTTGAGTTGACGTGGGGGACCCTTTGGTCTCTCTCTCTCTCTCTCTCTCTCTCTCTCTCTCTCTCTCTCTCTCTCTCTC